ACAATCTCTGTTTCAATTTGGGCAATTCTCGGGAGAGGAATCAAAAGCAATCAGCCAAACTTGCTGTGATATCCCTGCACATAGTAATCCAATAAATTGGGGAAGTTTCAGCACTTTCCCAGAGGCTCTCTCTGGGGCCAATTACCTCTGGAGGATGAATGAGAAACACTGACAATTAAAAGTGCCACAGAGACAGGGAAGGTATTTTTACTCTGATGAGACTCTTATTCACGAGGGAAATTAGGGAGCATTCTGCACGGCTTGGATAATGAACAATTAAAAGGAAAGACAGGTAGGCACTGAGGACCTGGTCCCTGTGGGAGGATGCTAAGGACCAATGTGTTTAGAAACTTGAGACTTAAAAAGGAATTCTCTGAACTGAAGAAAAAAAATGCAGATAAGTTTAATTTCCCAGGAGGCTTTATAGTTAAACTGTCATTATTGAAACTCTGTGTGTGACTATGTGCCTTGGGATAAGAGGCAGGATGCTACCTAATTAATGAATTGACCATATGGTAGAAGACCCATTTACAAGAAGGCCAGAGACAAAAATGGAAATATAACCTAAACAGAGCTTCTGATTAATAAATGACACTTTTTGTTAGGTGCCTCCATTTATAAACATGTTTTAAGTATACTTTCATGTGTATATTAAGTCATTAAATAATCATCCTGTCTGTTTAGAAGAGGGTCAGGCCAAATCTGTAACAATGAAACTAGCTAAATCTTTATTATGCTTTCTAGTCAGCATAGGGATTGGGTATTTTTCTTTTGTATCTATTCTTCTCATGTCTCTTCTTTAAATGTGCTGCTAATCTGTTGTTCAATTTCCACGTCATAATTATTCACAGACAGTTTTAACTTGCTAACTATTCAAATAATTTTCAGACTTCTATGGCTACCAATACAATATAAATTTACTGTGACACGTTTTTACTGTGTAGTTTAGATTAACTCTCAATAAAAATCACTGCTTAAGTAAAGTGTAATCTAGAAATGAAATACCTAACAATTTGTGAAATGCACAGGGCGAGCTCCAGTAAACAAGCAAATTACTACAAAGCATTTTGCTGGCAGATTATGTCAGTGCTGCTGTATCCGCGTCTGTTGTGAAATAAAGCATATCATGTTGGTACTAAGAAAGCAAAGATATTCAATAGCAAGGAGGAATTCAGTCTCATCCATGGGCAATAATGTAGAAAAAAACAGTGAATTTGCAAAAATGAGATGTGAGTTTACATCCCATCTCTTCAACCTTCTTCTAGTAGAAGGACTTTAAGAAAATAACTTTACCTCCCTGAGGTTCAATGTTTTCATCTAAAGCAAAGTAAAATGTGGAATAAAATTGTTCTCACTGGTTTTTGTGGGGATTAAACGTCAAATAGTTATCAATATACATAATAATATGCCTGGTATTTAGGAGAGTCTCCATCTTGGTGAAAGGCCTGAACATACATTTTACCCCTCCTGAAACATCAGCAATATGACAGCTAAGGAACTATTAAAATTGTAAATCGCCATAAAGAAAAAGAAAAGAAAAGGATATTCCACTATCAAGATATCAACGACATTTCAAAAAAATAGTTTGTAAGAGTGTCAACTAACATGACATAAATAAGAAAACTGGAACCTATACCTTCACAGATTGGAGATGTTAATCAAAAATCAAGCCCCCCTGAGCTCAATAACATCAGAGGGGCTTAGGAATGGAATATATAAAGGACTCTTCAAGGTTAGAAACAGGTTGGTTGAAAGTCTGAATATCCATTGGAGGATCAGACGCTCTACCCTACCACAAAACATATTATTACTTCTGGAAATAAGAAGCTGGAGACTCACAATGCTCAGAGATATTAAATATCTTGAAGAGGGAAGTCAAGATCTCTACAAAAACAATAAGCAACAGTGGACATGCTAAGTGATAAAATCCTCTTCCTTATCATGTTTCTTTGACCTCAGAATGATGACAGAGAAAATATCTCTTTATTAAAATTGACTCCTCAAGATAAAAGTCCTATGATTGTAATATTGAGGGGTTCTCCAACCAAAAAAGGCTAGTATCAGCCTACCTGAGCACTATACAGTTGAGTCTGCAAATCAAGTTCTATATACCCATAATGGAGTCTTCCAATCAGCATTTTATTATTTCAGTCTTAATCAGGAACAGACAACCAAGGATCAGTAGCATTTAACAAAGGCAAGGTAAAAACATATTAGCTGCCAAGATGTAATAAATATCAAATTGCAAACTGAGTTGCAAGACATTTTGAGAACTGATATCCAAAAACTACTTGCACAATTCTTGAGTTCCTAACTCACACTAAAAATATAAAACAGATAAAGATAAAGGAAAATTGAGAAAGGGATTTGTTTGTCAAAGATTTATGCTTAGTGCTTCACCACCACCAGACAGTTAGGGTTCCTGGTAATCTTAGGTCAAGAAAGGGACTTCAATAGGGTCACTCAGAAAACTAGATATGTGTGCCCTGCCATTTGTGGGATACAGTTAATGTATCTGACTCATTCCTGGAAAAAGTCAATAGGTGAGAGGCTGGCTGAAGGGGCCTATGACAGCTGAATAGAGAACAGCTGGAAATTAACTGCAATGCCATTAGTTACAAGAGAAAAGTGAGAATTTCCCATGGTCCTTACATGAAAATTTGAGTGAAAGGAATGATATGGAATCAATTTAATCATTTCTAAGGGATTGCCAAGAAGCAATGATGAAAATGCTGTGAATAAAGAAACTCTAAAGAAAAATACCTGAGAGATATGTGACAAGGGGAGAACAACCAGTCAAGACATGTACAGGACAACCAGGAATATGCTATAGAACCTGTACTTAATCCATGAGAAAAGTTAGAGTTAAACCACATACAGGCCTGAAGAGCAAGTAATCAATTTAACAATAACATTAGACAAGTTAGAACTTTTTTCCCCTCCATTCTTATCTTCCTCATTCACATTTTAACTTCCAAAGCAACTTGCAACAGGGGTAAAGGTGGTGGGTGTCAAACGCAGGTCAGGAGAGGAAGAAGGCCACAGCCCTTTCCTGGACTCCAAAGCTTTAAAGCCCTGCGAGGGAGAAGGAATAACTTCCTGTTTAAAAACAGTGGAGGCTTTACCATTACTTATTTACCATTGAAAAGGACACTGTGAGACTGAATTATCTAAGGACTAGTTTTAGTGTTTCTGTATCCTCAAATAATTTTACATTAGAGCTGATTATTAAGAACAATCAGAAAAGACATGGGACTGCCGAAGCTTTTATTTAGGAAAGAAAAGAAAACCATCCTCACTGAGTTAATTGTAAAAGAGTAAGTAGGAAAAGACAAAAGAAAGTTCTCTGATTCCATGCATGAGCCATGTTGGTTCAAACCATACATAAAAAGAAGTCAGAAAAAAATAAGTACATTCAGAGTACGGGTGAAAAAGCTGTTTAAAAAAAAAAAAACATGTCACATAGAAAAGATCAGGGATAAAAATAAAATCTTAATTTAAAAAAGTTCTCGCTGGGCTACTCAGGAGGCAGAGATCAGGAAGATCATGGTTTGAAGCCAGCCCAGGCAAATAATTCAAGAGACTCTATCTTGCAAATACCCAACACAAAACAGGGCTGGCAGAGTGGCTCAAGTTGTAGAGCACCTACAGAGCAAGCATGAGGCCCTGAGTTCAAAACCCAATAATGTAAAAAAAAAAAAATTCTCAATTACAGGATCTGGAAGATAATGAAGTAATGTCTTCAGAATTATGAGGGAAAATAGTTTCCACTAAATAAAAATGCCATAGAAAGCTGTGCCCAGGCAATTTCCAGATATTCAAGTTCTCAAAAATATCATCTCCTATTCATGCTTTCTCAGAAAACTACTAGAGGATGTGCTCCTCTAACATAAAGGTTAAAGGACACGTTAAAAGATACAGAAACAAAATCCAAATTATCCTAGGGATAATTTCTGAATAATGAAGTAGGACAACTGCTACTTAACAGGAAGAACTTATTTTAGGTTGGAGCAGGAAGATGGAAATCTCCTAAAGGACTATCTCTAAGAGAAAAAGACTATTACCAGATGTGATTGACCATTTTGACTGCTCTGTCAGATTTCACTGCTCTGCCAGATAAATTAATGGTAAGTGCAATGAAAACTATTTTAATGAAAATATTCAAATGTTAACTCCGGGAAAAAAATAGATTTTTATCACAATAATAATAATCATTATAATTTTACCTCCATATGCCAGGCATTGCTCTAAACACTTTACCCATATTGTTTCTAAGTCTTCATAACAGCCCTATAAGGTAGACACTATTACACCTATTTAATGAGGAGAAAAGTGAGGTACAGAGGGGTTAAATGGCTTAACAACATCTTACAACTAACAGTACCACAACCCAGATTTGACCCAGGCAGTCTGACCCCAATATCCATGGTCTACTGTAATCATAATTTGCTGAATGGCTTCATTGAGAGCAATATTTACACGATTGTCAATAAGTACACTTAAATACTCATCTAACCTCTAATGATGACATAATTATACATCAAGAGAATGGGAGAGGGGAATTATGTTGGGGTTGGTAGGGCAGTCATAACCTCTCTAAATTTTGTCTCCTCTAGAAGAAAGTCAATATATACTGGTAAAATATTTAGAAACAATCTATAGTACTATACTATCTTATATAAACAAGTAAATATCAGAATAAACAGCTAAAAGAATTTGTGGGAAACTGGATTTGGGGGTGGAGAAGAGGAAACAAGGCAATGTTCTTTATCAATATTATCCTTGGAGTAATACTTGAGTGTTTATTTATTTTAATTTTCTTGATTAAGAAAAATTATACAAAAATTATATACAGCTAGTGAGCAATGGATTGAAATGGGCACTTAGATGGTAGTGATAGGAGCTAGGACAACCACAGCAGTGGAAAGCAGACCTAAAAAGTGTGGATGGCCTTCCCATCACTAGCCTTTGGGGGTTAGGTTGCAGCTTCCCAGTCCTACCTTCTTCACCAAACACCTCACCACAGTGAGAGCAGAAGAAGTGCTCTGGGTGCCAGGTCTGGTTCATTGCTGTCAGTACTTTCTGGAAAAGGAAGACACAGAGAGGAATTAGAAGGCTGCAGAGTTGTTAAATGTGACCTGGTCTCTATACGTGATCAAAAGCTACATGAAGCTGGGAGGGGAAGTGCGTTACTTACATCCAGGATGGGAGCAGCACAGTAGGCACAGCGTGGAGAAAAAAGCTGGTGGTAGTCCTTGGGGCAGTAGGCCAAGCCACTCCGCTCAAAGAAGGGACTGGGACCAATCTCTTCTTTGCAGTGAGTACAGACAAAGTGCTCTGGATGCCAGGATTGTCCTAAAGCATGGATCATCTAGGGATAACACAGAGTCTAGGTTGCACAACTGTAGAGGGTGGTCTTCATACTGCATTCCATGTACACAACAACCCTGAAGTTACACAACACCCAGGCCCAGACCTAGGTTCCACTTAAGGTGATCTGTGGTCATGCTTAATGAATAGTAAAAGTGACCTACTCTCCTGACCACTCTAATAAAAGCATGTAAGTGTTCATTACCATTTTACTGGAAACAACACAGAGTATACTGGTGATCTATAAGAGATAAGTAAAGCCTTATCTTGTCACTCCTGGAAGAGGAAAAAGCCAAGTAGTTTTTACTCCTTGCTCTAAGCACCTCACCTCACATGACACATACATATAAATGAAAGCTGTTTGTCATGGATTTGGAGAAGGATGGTTCAGAGCAAGAGTCTATGGCCATGATTTAAAGCTACATTCTGCTGAAAATTGCAATCAACTAACTTAGATCAGAAATGTTTTAATAGAGGGAGTAGTGAGAAAGGTCATCTCAGTAAAGGCAGTACAGAAAAATATTTAAGAACTTAATTTCAGGAGCCAGACTCTCCTAAGACTTACCTCTGCCTCTTACTAGACCTTGGTTATATCAGTTAGTGTCTCTGAGCTCTCTGATTCTTTATCTTTACAAAGAGAACAGAATAGAATCTCCTTGAAGGTTTTACTAGACCATTAAATGAGGAAATACTTATAAAACACTTAGCTCAGGGTACTGTAAGTGATCAGTAATTATTAATGATTACATTCTAAAGTGTCTTAGAATATGAGGAGAAAGAGTCATCATTGGTGGGACAGAGACAAACATGCAGACACTGAAACTATAGGACCAACAACTTGGCCAAACTCACCTTTCCAGCAATCGGTTTCCGGCAGGAAGCACAATGGCCCTTGGGCACTGTGGCAATCCCAAGGTCCTGCAATTCCTGTTCCAAACCCCCAAGCATTGAGTCCAAGGAGGCTTCGTGATCCTGTTTGTCTGGTAAGTGCCTCTTGCTGATATCTGCTTTCACTGCAACCTGATACATGGAAAGAAACATAAAGAGAAACAGCCTTCATGCTGATTGTTGTCATTTTCTACACAACCCCATAAAACTTACCTCTACTGACTGATCTCTTGGTCTTCAAACCTTTCTCCAAAGTACTGGAGACAGCCAACATTTTAACACCAATAAAAGTCACTTTTCATAGCTGGATTCTGGTGGCTTACACCTACAATCCTAGCCACTTAGGAGGCAAGGATCACCATTCCAGGCCAGCCCTGGCAAATAGTTCATGAGACCCTATCTTAAAAATATCCAACACAACACAGGGCAAGCCAAGTGGCTCAAGTGGTAGAGCACTTGCCTAACAACCGTGAGGACCTGAGTTTAAACCCCAGTACTGAAAAAAAAAATCAATTTCACTTGTTGAACACCTAGTTTATGACGATCACTGTTCTAAGTATTTGAAATAAAGCAATGTATATGACAGACCAAGTTTCTGTCCTAGTGAAATCTGTACTGTGTAGGTAATATATAATAAATAACTAGATAAACATATGCTGCTAATGTCAGATAAATAAATGTTGTATATGGAGATAGAAGTGATGGAGGGATGGATGATGAGGAAGAATTGATTTAAAGTGGGGGTGATCAGAGAAGGCCCATCCAGGGAAGTGATATTTGAGCAGATTTTGAGTGATACCTAGGGACCTAGAAATACTGAGATTTGTGTGGAAAGCGTTCCAGAGCAAGTGAAGACCTCAAGGAAAGAAACTGGCACATTAGAAGAAAAGTCAAAAGGTCAGTGGAAATAGACAAAGGAACTGAGATTAAGCACAGCAGAACATGATGGAGAGAAAGATCCCACGGGGCCCTCAGCATAAAACCTTTGGTTTATTCCTTGATGATGAGAGCTCTGAAAGAATTCACAACATCCTTGTAATGTTGACTGGAGAGCAGGAGTGGATACAGTGAAACCATTAGGAGAAAAGACCAGTGTTAGGAGAGAAGGTAATGAAAAATGGTCAGATAAGACATGCTGGTGGATTGGATTCATTGTAAGCAAAACTCCTAACTAATTATTATAAAGCTCAAAGGTTTATTATTATTATTTACCTAAACAGGAGATCCTCAAATTACAAAAGAGATGTCTAATGCTTAGCTCATCAGAAAAGCACAATGGCTGTCCATTGCCTCCACATCAAATTTGTGCTCATTGGACAGGCGTTCAATGCCTCCCATCCACTGGCCTCATTTTACCATCCCAATCTCATTTTTTAAAAGTATACAGTAAAAAGCCTGCTGTTTAAGGCCGGAAGGCTCCCTACATTCTCCTGAACCTGATCTGTTACTGTCTGCCTTCATGCCTCTAGTTACTCTATTTTCACTACCTAGAATAACCTCACATTGTTATATGCTATATGTTATATGTTATATATATGTTATATGTTAGGTGTTATATTATATGTCATAATATTCATTTCCCTTCAAGAAATCTGATTCTTTGACAGATTTCTGTCCTCTTCTATTACATAATGTTATTTAATGTTCAAGAGATAAGTTCAAAAGGTAATGCCAGAAGGCCCTGAAAAAGTAATAATACTAAACATGAAAAATAAGTAAAAATACAACAACATATCTATAACTACATCCACATCTCTTTGCTTGTATATTCCAGAATACTTCTGAACAGATATGTAACAAACGGGAAATGCTGACTACCAGCAGGGGGCAGAACTAGATGACTGGGGGACAGATGTGACAGGGAAATAGTTTAGTATAAACTTACTTCTGTATTGATTTTTGTATAATGTGAATGTATAGCTTATTAAAAACCAGATATTTTTAAATTAAAATTTAAATGGATCAAGACACACGCTAAATTAATATAAAAATATAAATTACCTAATTTTTCTAGCATTTTCAGACATATAACACAATGAGCAAATTCACTCAATTTTCTTGTAGATGTTAGCTAATCAAAGAATACTAACTATTAAAGTAAACTTGTTTGTGATGTTTATTCATTTGTCCTTCTAATAAATATGTATTATTTACTATGTACCAGACCCTGTTCTGGGAACTGAACTATTCTGAGCACTGCCCTCCTCAATCACACACATATTAATATTCTGCCTTAAAATTATTTCATAGTTACTTTATGCGTATGTATCAAATTTTCCCACTAGACTTAGAATGGCTGGATTCTCTACCTTAAGAATTCTAGATACATATCCTTTTATAAGTCCTTAAGCCCATTTATCTGATTTTTGCTCTATAGGCAAAAACAAGGAAGCAGATATTACCTCAATATGGGCTTGGGACTATTCTTCTTACTTTGACCTCTCTGGCTCTGTCTCAGTTTGCATTCTGGCCTCCTCTGCCCTGCATGGCCAGGTCTCTAATGTTCCTTCTGCATTATCAGGCTTTAGATTGCCTATGCCCTTAGGGGATACCCCACTAAAAAACTCTTTTCTTATCTCTATATGTCCAAACGCTATACATTCTTCAGAGTCCATCCCATGTCCCATCCTCACCTCTGATAAAATGTGTATGACCTCTCCAAATCTCTACAGTTTGCTCCACATATTTTGACAAACCACCTAACTTTAATTCCATAAATGTTACAGAGGTTTATGCCTCATTTTAATAAGCACACTACAAGCTCCTTGAGCTCATAGCTTGTATCATATTATCTTTTGTGTCCAAATAATAATAAAGTTGAGTTTCTCCACTGAATTAAATCAGGTTTGGGAAAATGAATGTCAGCTTAGAATTCTTAAACAGGAGAATGGCAGAGCTGAGTTCCACCAAGATAAACTGGTGCCTCTCTGGGACTGGAGACTTTATCATCCAGGCTGTACCTACCGTGGCCTGCATTTCACTCAGGTGGGCCATGAGCTCATCCAACTGAGCAGCTGCTGAGGTTTTAGGAGGTGCTGGTGATTCCCTTTGTTCTTGGACCTCACTAGAGAGAGAAAAAAACGTCATACTAACATATCAAAACCCAAATAAATAATAAGTTACATAAAGTATCAGAAAATATACTTTTAACTACTAACCCCTTAGATAAAAGTCAAAAACAAGGGACAAAGAGTATTTTAAAAATAGCTGTTAATGACTGGGCATGGTGGCACACATCTGCAATACCAGCTACAGTGAAGAGAGATTGAGAGGACCGTGGTCCAAGACCAGCCCGGGCAAAAAATTAGCAAGATATCATTCCAACAAACAATCCAGATATGGTAGTGCGTGCCTGTAATCCCAGCTTTATGGGAGGTATAGATAGGAGGATAACAGTCTAGGCTGGACAAAAAAGCATGGCTATCTTCCTCTCTTAAGAAGGAAGATTTTGTCCTTTGAGTACAACGTGTAGCCCTCTGCCACATGGAAATGATTTATTTTTATTTGTTTTTAAATCTGGAAGCAAATGGTCAGGTAGTCAAGTAACTAATTGAGTTCTTCTTGGAAGTTCCTTAGAATGTAGGCGGGAACTTCTCAAACTCTTTCACTCATTAATCCCTTAGAAATTGCTGCCACTGGCATGTTCTTGGCAGGACTTTGAGCACATTCTGCTGCCCTGTACCTGAGTACAGAATAAATAGAGTTTCTTATCAGGGCCTGCCTATTCATAAAATCTTCCCACCTCACAGTCAGGGCATATTTGTGCTTATTCAAAGAATCCCTGCTGTTTTTTTAACTAGAGTTCTAGTGCAGCATATAAAGAGAAATAGATCATTAAGATACTCAAATAGTAATTGAACCAACAAATGATATTCTAAATAATAAATAAGACATAAAAAGTTGATGAGTACAAATTAAAGTGTCCTGCTATAGGAAATGTTCCTGAAAAGAGGAACCTTAAATTTGATTTGTTTGCTGATTTCTAAAGACAGTAACAGTACTTTGCAATGCCATCAGCAATATAAGTTACTTCATTCTCAGAGATTTGAATAATACAAATCACAAGACATGCATTTAAAAGCATCGGAAGTTTTTTTTTGTTTGTTTTACAATGACAGTGAGTAAAGTGGAAGAGTTTATTGAGATAGAAAAGTGTAAAGGAGGAGAGTAGAGCCCCCAGAGTTGAAGGAGTCCCAGGAGAGGGTGCCCTGCATCTGAACATCTTAAGTAAGGAGTTTCTTTGCCAGGTTTTTCCCCCATTTATTTCTGTTATTTTTTTTATGACTTGTTTCTTTTCATTGTTAACAAAATTATTACTTTATTCATTTAAAAGATACATTTCTAAATAATAATTTAGAAATACTGCTATTGATATACAATTGTAAGAAATATTCCATTGCTATTGTTCACAGCTTGTACTGAATACACTTTCAAGATACAGTGAAACAATGTTCGGTTCATTTAGGCAAGCCAGAGTAAAGGGCAGAAGCAACTCACTAGCTTCTGAGTTTAACATTCTCTCAGTGTGTGCTCGTGTTCCTGGTTGTGAATTACAACTGCCTCAGGGATTTATAAGAGTCCATAATGAATTTATGAGTGGATTTTATATAACTCTCCCACGCATGCATACGTAGTAAGTATTGTTAAGTAATAGAGACTGTATCAAACAAAGTCCAGTCAGGAAAACATAAGCTACTTTAAGTAAACAAAAGGAATTAAATTCAGAAATGTGACTTCACAGGTGATGGGAGAGGTAAGAAGCAAAACTGAAGACAATGTGGTAACCAGAGATTAGCCACAGTAGGAAGCCATCATGACCCCTAAGTCAAAGAGACAAAGAGGCAAAGTTGCTAGAGCCCAGCGGTCCAGGTCAATGAACTAAAACCAGAGCACATCTGTCAGGCTCTTGCTGAAGCCATAAGAAAGATGTATTTGCTGTCAAGGACACTGAAAAGTCAAGGACTGGGGCAAATGGCCTGGATTTCTCTGTTTTACACCCTCCTGTGTCTCCATAGTGCCTCCTGTTGGTTGCAACCCATAAGAGCCAATGTCCCTGGTGGGAAAACCAAACCTGCAGGGTCAGCTCCCTGGAATGCAGAGCAAAAGAAGGAAGAAGGAAATGAGGGAAAGGAGGCCAGAGGTCCACACTAGGGGAATTGGGGCAGGGAGGTGGTAAGCTAGTATTGATGTTAACATCAATTGATTACAATGCCAGATACACAGGAAAATGCCTGTTGCTTGTTTTGGTTTTTTGTATTTTGAGTGTTCACTTACGTTTCTATTGGAGACTTAGCTTCCCAGATTTAAGAAAGCAAGTATTTACTGATAGCTTTTTTTGTAGCAGACACTGCTTTCTTGTTTTGCTTTTTTAGGTTTGTTACTGGGGTAGGAGGAAGGACTATGGAGAAATGTTCACCTACAACTTCCTGGAATTGTAAGAAACTGGCAATGTGTGTATTAATAAATTGGCCTCACTCTCACCGAAGTAGAAAGTGACCTCAAGTGGGAAGTTTTAAAAAGACTTACTATACCACAAGTCCTTCCCCCTGGGTTTGCCTCTGGTGCGTGCACTACTGGCTGTGACTCTGAAATCAAGTAAAGTGTGATAGATACTCATTACCAAGCATGAATCTTTATCATCTTTAAACTAAGCCCTTTAATTTGTTTCCGAGAAAGGTGCCTGATGTTTAAGAATGAAAGCAACAACTAAAGAGAGAATAAGAAAAGGGATCTTTTTTTTTCCTACAGACTATTGATTTTGCTTTGGTCAGGAGAAATGATTTAGTAAGTGAATTTGCTTCAACATGTAAGTTTTATTAAAAGGAAACCCCTCCTAAACAAATTTTGAGCAAATATGGAAAGAAATATAGTCATTGGTCTGCCATGGAGCCTTACTGTCTAAGGCTAGCCCTGGTCCTAGCACTGTTGTTGTTAAGTTTCTTCAAGTGTGTTTTCTTCTTTGTGAACTGGAGCATGATATCTGGAATGGATGGGCCAAAACATCTGTGTAACTAGGACTATTTACAAATTTCAGGTGTAAAGGAAATAGCACAGCTCACCAACCTGGACAGCTGACCTAAATGCCAGGCACCTTGAAAGGCTGCCAAGTCAGCTCAGCAGAGTCCTGTCCCTACTCAAAGACTGTGGAAAGAGGAGGGTGGAGGAGTTCTAATAATAAACACAAAGCAAATTATTGTCTGAAGACTGATAACAATTATCTAATAATTTTAATTTTTTAAAGTATTTAATACAAACAAAAACATACCTGTAGACATTGGGATCCTGGATATTGGTAGTATACACGAGCTGTACCTAAGACATATAAATGACAGAGAAGAGCAAAGAAAGATTTCTGTCATTAGAATATTGGTGCTTATCAACACCAAGAGAGGATGTTTTTAGTTTCTAAAAGGGATAACTAGCATGTCTATAATCCCAGTTACTGGGAGGCTAAGGCAGGAGGATTATGAGTTTGAGAACAGCTTGGGCTACACAAAGAGACTATCTCAAAAACAACAGAAAAAACAGTAAAGGTAATAACTAGCAGATCTCTGAGATCTTCTTTATTAAGGAGAGGAATTACCTACCAGCCACCCTGCACAGAAAGGCCAAATTCTAAGCAGAAACATTGGCATATGGCCCTTCCTGAAAAGCAATGAAATAGAAAAGTAGACCATCCATCCCCAACTGGAATAATAGGGGGTAGGGTGATAAAGAAAGAGTAAGTAAGGGGGGTGTTAATCTGATTAAAGTACAATATATACATGTCTGAAATGCTAAGGCAAAACCCCCTTGGACTATCGATTACACTTTTAAAAAATGAAGGATAGCAAAACGAAAAAAATTGAGGGCTAGGAAGGTGAAACAGGTCTTTTCCAGAGATGCGTATCAGAGGGAGGGGTGAGGGCATAAGGAAAAGGTGAATGAGGTGGATATAGTGAGTGTATTTTGTGTTCATACATGCAAACAGAATAATGAAACATGTTGAAATTGTTCTAAGAAGGGGGGGAAGGGGACGAGGGAGAACAATGGAGGGGTGAATCTAGATAAGCTATATTGCAAGCACATATGTAAATATCAGTGTATCCCCTTGTACAACTATTATACACTAAGAAAAAATTTAAAGTAAATTACAAAAATTTTAAATAGCACAATATTCTTTATATATATATAAAGAATAATTATTTATATTGTAAATATATATATGTGTATATATATAGGTTACTTAGCCATTGTTACCTCTGACATTGTGATGTAGAAATTTTTCCTTAAAATGTCTGTTTATTTTTAATAAGGTGCTGCTATTTTTATAAAATTATAATCTTTTTCAAAGCTTCACTTTATGGTTATAGATTTGAAATGATCACTTCATGATTTTCTATAGATCATAATATTTTTAATAGAGAAAGTACTCCCTCCTCTCTAGATAGTGATGAACCTGAAAGTACATGCAAATTCTGATCAATGGAAGATATTCCCAATTCTGATTTGTGTATTAAAATGTGTAAATATTTCAGGACAATATTTTCACAGCTTTTCTCTTTCTACCTCTGCTCAGAGTACCTTTCTTTAACACTATTTTTAAGTCAAAACTTTTTAAGCAGTCTCTATTTGTGATTCTTTTTAACATTTTGCCAAATATAGATACTGAAAAATCATAGATTTTTCACAATTTCATTCCATTCTGGTGGATAATATAGATTTATTCAACTAAAAACAGGAGTCAAATCCATCAAAGTGAAGATTTTTTAGAAACTCAGTTTTCAAATTAGGTAATTAAACCATATGAGCTCTCACCTTTTGATTTGTTCAATTCCTCCCCAGCTTTTATAGAGAGAAATTTGAGCTGCTTCCTTTTTTTCAAGTTTAATTTTACATAATTGCAACGTGCTAAAGGCTTTAAAAAGCTGAGTTTTCATCCTGTATTCATTGAATAATTTTTTTTTTAGAAGCCCAGATGATTTATTAAAACATTTTCTTTTGTACTTCTTAACTAGCTGGGCATTCCACTGCACCACTGTTGATGTCATCTATGATGTCATGAGGGTGACGGCCATCGACATTGCAGCCCACAGACTGTGCAGTGCCCAGGATCTCTTTAATCGTTCCAGAAAGTTCTCTGGCTAATGATCGGTGACGCATCTGTCTGGCAATGTTGACAATTTCATCAAAGGTGATGTTTCCACTGTGTTTAATGTTCTTCTGTTTCTTCCTGTCTCTTGGGGGCTCCTTGAGGGCTTTGATGATCAGGGCGGAGGCAGAAGGCACAACCTCAATCTGGGCCTGTCTGTTCTGAATGGTCAGTTTCACTGTAATCCTCAGACCCGTCCAATCACCAGTTGCTTTGGCAATGTCATCACCAACCTTTTTTGGAGACAGACCCAAAGGACCAATCTTAGGGGCCAAGGCAGATGTGGCGCCGACCTCGCCACCGGTGCACCTCAAGTACACGACTTTGATCTCGTTGGGGTCGAACTTGGGCTGCATGGTGGAGGTGGCCGGTGTCGGATGAACCCGGATTCCGGACGACTGAAGAAAGTTGCACCTTTGCCTCCTCCAAGCCGAAAGACGAGACTCATTGAATAATTTGATTAGAGTTTTCCAACTGATTTTGCACATAATGCAACCTAAATTTGGGTTGCTTTACATAATGGGTTTTCTAAGGCTTGGGCATTTCCAAAATCCAAAGGATAACAGGCAGCAGAGTCATATACAGGCATTCTGAGATGTTTCTTTGTATTTAATACCAGCTTCTGGCACAAAAGTCTTGTACATTGGTTACTTATGTACTCTGTGAATATCTACTGCACAGTATTTATAAATTTTGACAATTTCAGTTTCCATCTCAATTGGTAGAACATTACAGTTTGTGCACAGTCATGACTTTTGTGTACATCACAACTAATTCCAAGAATTTTTCTGCTTCGTATGTATTTAAATTGGTAAGAACATTGTTTTAAACACAATGCTGTGTTTCACCAACATTTGTATTCATACTCTTGCTGTGAAAAATATTTTAACTTCAATGTTGAAGTTTTCAACTAAATTTACAATGACAGTATCAATGTCAGAAGTTTTATTTTTGACTGAAGAATAAATTTCCAAAAGTTTTATTTCAGCCCTTTGAGTCGAATGAAAGAAAAACTGAACAATTTGGGAATTAACAAATTTTCTAATTCAGACCTCTGATGGCATTGATATAAAACTAGCATTTATTGATGATTTTCAAAGTGTATTAACTTATTAAACATCTCCATTTCACTTTATAAGCACAAGAAAGCTTGTCATTGAAAGTGAGCAAAACTAATTTGGAAGAGTCATTTGATACAAATGGAAAGATATACTTTACAAGTACATGCAAACATATCTCCTTTAACTGCACATGTTGAATTATCATCTTGGAATACATTCTTCTAAAATTTCGAAGTAGATGCCAATTCTTCTTCACCTTATTTGTGCCTTCTAGTTTTTAAAGGGACAGTGAAATCTCTACTTGCCTCCATGATGAATGGAAAATATGAACAAATATTTCAGGCAAGTTACACATTCACCGTCAATCTCTTTGAGAAAGTAAAACATGAAGTTTTGGTTTCAGTTTTGTTTTAAGCTAAATGCTGAAAAGATTTATTATAAAATTAAAATGGATTGAGCGTCTGCCAAGCAAGCATGAAGCCGAGTGCAAAAGCTTAGTACCACCAAAAAAAAAAGAAAAAGAAAATTAAAATGAGTAACACAAATACCAAAAGTATTGGTGTTAACAAATACTAAGAGCTTTACAAATGTAAATAACGAATTTGTTGTAAGAAAGCACTCAGATTATACTATATTCTATGGCAGGAATGCATAGCCTGTTACCTAAACCTGATTTGTGTGACACTAAGCCAGTTTCCCACATTTCTTACTGACCCTGAGGAGGCACCATGCATGTCACAGATTCCTACAAGGATGTGACAAGGCATCAATGGTGGCACAGCAGGGGAAAAAGCCTCAAAATTTTCCTGTTACCACTTAAGAACTGCTTATGTTTGAGCTGTTAGCTTTAAAACAACCAAAACCCTGCATATTACCCATGAAAGCGTTCTGCTACTTAGGTGACATCTGAACACGATCAAGAAGAGACAAGTTATTATTAGCCATCTTTTTGGATTTAGCCATAATAAAATTAGAATTCTGTTCATTGCATGTGTTTACACTTTACTCGATGAGACCATGGAAGAAATCAAAGAACCAAATGTCTGTTTAACCATGCTGGTTCCCCTTAATGCAAGTACTAATGAGAAAACTTCAAAAAGGAAGTGAGTAGGATGTCAGTCAAACAAGCAAAAATCCAGGTTTCTTCTAGGGAACCTGGACATAGGACCAGTACCTTTTACTCCAAATAAGATGGAAGCCATTGAGGGATTTTGAGTAGAAGAATTGGTGGTATGATTTAAGTCAAAGGATCACCTCAGGCTGCTATGATGATAACAGACTGCAGGTAGCCAGAGGCAGAAGATCAGTTAGAAACTTGCTGCTATAAACTAAAAGTGAGAACAAAGAAAACAGCTCTCTACTGGAGAGATAAATGGACAGTCTGAAGGGAAGGACAGTAGAGGGGAAACCTACTCCTGCATTCAAATTTCAGGTCTGTGCCACTGATTGTTTCACATAGTATAACAATAAATCAGAATATAATAGTTCAAAAGTGCCAGATCTAGAGTATTTACTCAAAGTCTCTTACACTAATTCCTTTCTTATCAAGCAACCATCTAATTATAATATAGGTTAATGTAGAATGATCTATAGGAAGAAAACACATAAATCAGCAAATACTGGTATCTGTTCTATCTGATAGTTTTAAATCTAACCATAAATTAATACATTATATTTTTGGAGCTTTTTATTCATCATTTCTTATGCGTTTAGAGTTAGTTGCCTACAGCTTTGTCATCTCTGATTACACTAATAATTGAATTTCCTAATCTATTCAGGAGAAGACAAGAAATGGTGACCTGGAAAATTTACCCTGAGAAAACTTGTCTAAGCTGCTGCCTGGCCTTCTCCAGGTAACATGTGGGCTGAGTGTCATTCCAGTCAAGCTACAAAGGGGTAACATTTCTGACGCCCCAATGATAAAATCACAATACTCCAAGTGAACCAGCTAATACAATGCCTGTTACTAGACTCTCTTGTTTTTCTCTGGTGATTTTCTCAATTTTCTTTCCAAAACCAAACAACACTGAAAGATTATTTTTTCCCTTGGATATATGCTTCTTTAATATCATTTTATATAGGATATAATTAGTTTTCAGATAATGTACTAAATATCTACAACCAAAGTACTACAAGCAACAGGTTACCTTCAAGGGACTTGTGTTACCCTTTGAAGTCTCCATCATGCTATTCTCTCTTATGGAATGCTGACCCAGGGGAACAGGATCAGGGTTAGAATATTCATCACTATCCTGGAGAGTGGAGCGCTCCAGTTCCTCCAATAAGGCATCTATATCACAAGAAACAAGAGAACCATAATATAGCCAGGCATTGGTGGCTCACGCCTATAATCTTAGCTACTCCGGAGGCAGAGATCAGGAAGATCGTGGTTTGAAGCCAGTCCAGGCAAATAGTATGTGAAATCCTATTAGAAAAAACTCATTTCAAGAAACAGCTGACAGAGTGGTTTAAGTGGTAACCATGTCTGCCTAGCAAGCATGAAGCCCTGAGTTCAAAACCCACTGCTTCCAAAAAAAAAAAAAAAAGAAAGAGAGGTTAAGATTGACTCAGAATCATTTTCTCCTAGACCATCCCCACTGTGCCCCCATTTATCTCCTTCTTTTAGACTAAAGCTATTTTCAAACACTTTCCTTCCTCTTGCTTCAAGAATGTGACCTCTCCCACAAGGTGAAGCCTCATACCTCCTTATATTATGGTTTCTTATTTTTTATGGTAGTACTCAAATTCATCGCCTCTTCTATAATCTGACTTCATATATTGTAATATTGATTTTTGTCATTCCTTTAGGGAAGATCACCCACGGGATCCCCAGTTAGAAAACAAAATCCTAAATATATTACCTATCAAAAAAAATACATGGCCAGGTGCTGGTGACTCAAGCCTGTAATCATAGCTAGTTAGGAGATAGAGATCAGGAGGATCGTGGCTCAAAGCCAGCCCAGGCAAGTAGTTCATGAAACCCTATCTTGAAAAAAACCCATCACAAAAAAGAGTTGGTGGAGTGGCACAAAATGAAGGCCCTGAATTCAAGCCCGAGCACTGCCAAAAAAAAAAAATATATATATATATATATACATATACCAGAAAAGCACATTCTTAATTCTGATTTTTTTTGTCTTAAATCTCAAGAATTATTCCAAGAACATAACAAAATTCTCAAAACAAAGCAAAAGTAATTCTATTTTTTAGGGTGTGGAGAGAAAAACAGATGGGAAAGGAAACTGAGATATTGCAAAATCAAGTAAGATGTTGCAATCCAAAAAGTGAGGACTTGCTTCTCTCAGTTTTCCTGGGAAAAGCCAATGGACATGACAAGCATTTTTTAGTACCTTTTTATTTAAATTAAATTAATAATAATAATTAATAACATTAACATATGCCAACCCCACTGGTCAGGAGAGTACACATTTTACTGAATTATCCTAACACTTTAAGGTAGATAATTTGTTGTCTACTTTGTAGATAAAAGAGACAAAAAAAGCTTGCATAGGCTCATGATTGCAAGAACCAGTACTTGAATCTGTGCTGTCTGACCCCTAGCTGTGAACTAACTGTAATTTAGCAGCTGTAGTCCCCATTCTCATATGGATTGTCTGTAGGTCATCTTGAGCCTGCCATGCTTTCAGAAGCTGCTTCTTCATCTACATAATGAAGCAATTGAACAGAACAATATTTTTCAGATTGTAGGTCAAGACATAGTGGTAGATCTCTAGTGCATTTTTTTTTGCTATAGGTTATAGTTTCTAAATGTCTGCAAAACATTAGATTATACTGTTCCTAAGGACCTGCCTATCTTTGAAGTTCTCAGATAAAAAAATGAACTTTACAGGTTATTGAAAAATGAACAAACAGATTTTCTTTATTTATACTTGGGGAGGATGGATATTTCTCAATGGTATAAGGAAAGATCAAATTTTCTTTTACAAAACAAATCTTCTGTATAACTTTCTCAGTCATCCATATTGCAAAATTTTGACTTCTATGCACCATTTTTACAACAGTGTTTTAAGAAAACAGAAGATAAACTCTTCAGGTCAAATTACACTTCAACCAACAAATTGATATCAGAAGAGCTGTAGGGAGCACCTACAGATTAAAAGAGACTTAAGATGCTTATAGGGCTGGCAGAGTGGCTCAAGATAAGAGTGCCTGCTTAGCAAGGCTGAGGCCCTGAGATCAAATTCCAGTGCCACAAAAAAAGAAAAAAAGGAAAAAGATTTGCCTGGCACCAGTGGTTCACACCTGTAATACTAGCTACTCAGGAAACAGAGATCAGCCAGGACATGCAAATAGTTCCTGAGACTCTATCTTGAAAAAACCCATCACAAGGTGTAAACCCTGAGTTCAAATCCTAGTACTGCAAAAATAACACTTATGACTAATTCCATTGCATGACCCTTATTAAGATCATTAAATAAATGTCAAAAATAGACAACAATATTAGGTGATTATTAATTTAAGTGTGATAAGAATATTTGAAAATATAAAGGGATTTCTGTTATTTTTAGGTGTGATAAAGGTATTTTATGATATTGAGGCATTATTAAGGCTAATTCTGGGCATGATACTAATATTATGGTTATTTGTGTAAATACATATTTATGTTAGAGATTAAAGATAAACTATTTACAGATGAAATGATATAATATTTAAAATTGCTTTAAAGTAATCCAGGGATGGAAATAATAGGTGAGTCTGTGTGTGTGTGTGTTTGAGAAATAAGATTGGTCAAGAGTTGATGATTTGTTTAAACTGCATAAGGGGTATATCAGATTTCATTAAACTATTGTCTCTACTTTTGTATATTTTTATTTATTTTTTGGTGGCACTGGGGCTGAACTCAAGGCCTCATGCTTATTAGGCAAGTGCTCTTACCGCTTAGGCCATTCCACCAGCCCCACGTATATTTTTTAATTCTCTATAATGGAAGATTTTTTTAAAAAAGAAACAAAACTAAAACAAATTAAATTGTCTCAGAATTTATTAGCCAGACTTGATTCTGAATTTCAGAATTCCAAATTTTTACTCTGTGTCTCTCTATCAAAATAGAACCTCTTTTCTATTCAAGCTGTAGGCCAACCAGAACTCAAAGGTCTTCTTGGAATAATAAAAAGCCATCTACAGTAAACATTGTGGGAATGGTAAATATTGGTAAATATTGTGGGAATACCACAAAAAGTATGAAGTTACCCTTAGAGGGATCAGCTAATCTTAAGTAGTTAGAATTTTCCTTTCTGGGTCATGAGTTAACAGGCAAAGGCCTCTTCCTGTTTCCTATGAGTACACATTTTACCAACATCCCAAGCTGTTAAATTACAGGTCAAATATTTAAAGTATACAACCTATAATGTAAAGATGACTAATTTCAGTACGACAAATATGAAATTACTGGAGGTGGTAGTGGGGGACTTAAATATGAGATTGGAGGGGGAACTTGACTGAAAACTCTGTAGTTCTTCTCTCCAGTCCTTCACTTGTGGAAATTAAATAATATTAAATTAACATTAAAGGAGTACAGTGAGGTCTTTTTTGGGGTGTTTCTGTGAGTTGTAATGATCTCATTCAGAACCAGAGGTTATTTTTATCTATCATCCACATGTCACAAGCATTTAAGTACAACTATCTGGTTGATACACTCTACTAACCTCCAAGGCAATACAGTAGAAAGAAAATATTTGTTCACTTGAGCCAATTTGTCCTGCATGTAATTTTTCTGCAGTCAGGAAGAAAAACCTACCCCATGTCTTGGGGTAACTATTGGGTTGATGACAAATTGAAGACACTGTTGAGGTATAGTCAACTAACTGCCTGTTGGCTTGTCAACTGTTTGATCTACACAAATGTTAGCTTCCAGGCAGCCTTGATATTTTCTACATTTCTAGACAACATTTCTTTAACATCCATTCCACTTAGAAAATGCAGAAATACACATTTTTTAAAAGTGGGTTATTCCATTGGCCAGAAGACCTGAACTAACACATTTCTAACATGGAACACCTTGTAGTTTAATTGCTTTGGTGTGAGGTTCTTCCGGGAATAACAGTGAACAAGTTATTTTCTTTTCTTTTGTTTTTTCATCTAAAAAAAGTGGGTAATCCCTATTTTAGAACATTGCTGCAAACACTAAAATGATTAACGTGTAAAAAATGTCTAGTTTTAACCTATGTCACAGTATAAGTATTAGTTCCCTTTGAATTATTTATATAAAATTTGATATCCCTAAAAAAAATTGGACCTTGGTGGAACTAAGGCAGAAATGCAAATTCTCCCAATATCATAGAGGTTATGAATTTGTATTCTACCCCAAGTCCAAAACATAGTTCACCTCAGTATCAAAATAGAGGTAACACAGCTCAATATTTATTAAATGCCAACTTTTCTCATCATTAACATCTCCTCCCTCCTGTTCTTTCTTTGCCCTTCTTCCTTTTTCTATTTCTCTAGCTCTCAAATCAAACCTCAACGAATTAAAAAAAAAGACAATGTGGAGGATATGTCCTTTGTTGTTGGCTCTTTTGGCATACCTACCAACACAAACAAAATCAGGATCATGTGGAATACAGCTTGAAAACTAAGTAAAAGTGAGTCAATGTTAGAATGTTGGGGAAAAAAAGTTGGCAGTATATGGAATGAATCCAAGAATACAAATTTTGTATTACCAAAGATTTGATCTCTCTGGGTAACATAGCTAATAGTTCCACTGCTGGTATCAATTGCCTTGAAGAAGGAAGTACTGTATTTTTCAGGCCATGGTAATCTGCTTCTTCAGGATTCCTTTGAATAAAAAGCTTAGAACAAAATTACTAGTTATAGGACTATGTTTTTTTCATTCTTTTTTTTTTTTTTTTGTGGCACTGGGGCTTGAACTCAGGGCCTTGTTCTTGGTAGGCAGGTGCTCTGCCACTTGAGCCACTCTACCAGCTGTCTTCTCAATCTACTACTAAACTGTAGAACAAATCAAACTGTTCTGGCTTTTTTTCTAGTCTCTATGGATCCTTTATTCCATTTTTCCTCTTCCTTTTACTCTCTGTCCCTTTTCCCTTCTTTCTTACTTTTTCTCCCCAAATCACACCTCTGTAGTTGCCTAGCTGTGTAGCTACCCTAAGATCTCCTGGGGCCTCAGACAGGGAAATGCTGGTAATAAAATGACAATATCAATCACCATTCATTCCAAAATAATTTGCCTGAACGTTTACTCTGTGGTTAGCACCAAACTCTCTGCCTGTTGTGCCACTGCAAACAGTGAACTCCACAGTTCCCCAGAAAAATCATAGTTCCTGTGCCTTACTCTTGGTTGCCCAGAGGACAGAAGTGAAAATAAACTCTTTCATCACTACCTTCAGTCTGATTAGAAGTACATCCTATTGCACATGGAGATCATAGCCAAGTAAGTCCTCATTCCCTCAGAGCTTCTTTTTCAAGAAGCTGCTCACTCACCCAACTCTTCCATGTCTTACACCCAAGATGCTCTGTTCTTTCAGGTTGTGAAGAACTGCTTTGGCATGAGGTGTAGAAGGGGACCACAAAGGAACTGAATGAGACAGTGTGAAGCAGCCTCTATAACCCTTTTTTGGTTCCTGTATTTGCTTAGCACTTCCTCTCTTTTGATTTGGTGAATTTCTTCTTTTTTTGGCGGGGGGGAGGAAGTCTATAGTTTTTAAAATGGTACTGACATGTAAGATTTAAGTTCTAGTAATACACTGGCCAGGGTGATAAAGCTTTAAAATTAACTTTGCAAAATTTGAGTACATACTACATATCAAGTTTCATCATGGAAATGGCGGATTTATACGTGTAGGTTTTTCCAAACACATGTATCCTACTGTGATTTTTTTTTCTGCACTGTGAAACTGGGGACTCATGAAAGAATGGTTTTCTTCTTAAAATTTCCATTAGAGTTAAACAGTACCCAGTTCACTTCACTGTATTTACTTATTCAGAATACGCTCATCTGCTTTCCTGTATAGACTGTAAAAAGCAGGTCAGAAGTGGATTCACTTTGGAATCTCAGGCGTTGACTCATGTCCAGAATACAAACATCTATGGGCTGACGAATATGAAGCTGGAAGGTTGGACACTGGGTGCTAAACTGTAACTATCTGTATTAAGCATAATCCCTGTTCAGTTACATTGCCTTGAAACAGTTTCTCTAAAAAGCGACACTGAGTTTTTTCCCCACCTTGTTTTATCACTGATTTTATTCATCTTGATAGAAAACATTTGTAAAAGGCCTACTATGAAAAAAGCATTATATAAAGAATTGTAATTATACCCTGTGAAATAGATTTCATCCGTTTTTACCAGTGGAAAAATAGGCTCAAGGAATGGTAAATTGCTAAAATTAACAGAGGTAGCTTTACTTCTTACTAATAGTTCAGATTTTACTTCCGAGCCTTTCTTTTACAATGCAATGTTAAGAAAAGTAATCATCCGCTCTTTCTTGGAGGGGTGGGGGTAGGAATTCCCCTTTTGTATTACTTTAAGCAACCAATGGATGTCAGTGCTGTTCCAGAAGTCAGCTAAGTGCAACCACAGCCTGAAAAACTCCCCATTGATACTGAATCCATTTTTTACAGCTGAAAGTGACATTAGCCCTCTGAAAGTGCAAAAATACTCAGTAGAGAACACAAAGCATTTGCCTAATCTGATATGGCATCAGAGTTGAATACTAGAAAGAAAAATGTTCTTTACTTGTCTACAGTGTAACTCGATGATTAAGGTAAAAGTTGAAACTGTATCTCCAGATGCTGTATCTATCCTCTTTTAAACTCCGATGCCTTATTTTCCAGGGGTAAGGAACTGTTCTTGCAAATTGCCCCTTGGTTATAAGGGGTAACAGGAAGAAAGGAAGGGAGAAGCACACGGCTACACCGGCTGCAACTTGGCGATGAACACAAGGAAACTGGCTTTTGACCCAGCAGGAAGACAGCAGCGTGCGCGCGCTAGGGGCAGAGAGGGACTTGTGACAAAGCTGTGCTCCGACCGCGCTTCCGGTGCTCAGCACGCCTGCAAACCACAGGGGCGGGAGGGTCCCCCGAGTCACGCCAACCACTCTTCTTCCTCCCTCTAGCCCAGCACCCCACACCAGCTTCTGGATGTCTTGATGCAGTAAGAAAGCAGCTTTACAATTCTACCAAAGTTTTTATTTTATTTTGTTTTATTAAAACTGAACCGACGCAAGCAGAATCAATCCCTGACCTCTAGGGCTCACAGGATGACGAGACAAATAACAATAGAAGAGAATGCTAGCTTGTCCCAAAGGAGGTGTCATCTGACCAAACCAAGGCAGGTCAAGGCTGTGATGTGGCCATTCCGGAAAAACTACGACAACGCCAAGTTAAGAAGCAGGAAAAAGTGGGATAAACCCTCTGAAGCAACCCTAACTAGCAATTGGCTCAGTATTTGAGCCCGGATGTACAGAGGCATCGCGGTCTAATCCGGAAGCACTGCCTCCCTGGAATGTAAACTCGGACTACGGAACGTTAGACTACCTTTCCCATCACCAATCTGCCGAGTACTCCCAGCGTCCTCTTGGCCTGGAGTTTCCTAACTCTTCCCGACGCAGAATGTCAGTTCAGAACTTCATCTCCCAAGTTGCCCTTGGCTAACTTAGCCGTACGCTTGCGCCGAAGGGCGGTTCCTCTCTGCCCCAATAGCCCCGCCTCTGCCCTACCGCCGCCATTTTTTTCAGGGACTTTCATCCGGCAACGGACGGGGCTTTTTTTCTTAAAGGAGAAGCGACAGCTCAAAATATTCTCCCCTTTTCTCCGCAAGACCCGGCGGCGCTGGTAACAAGAAGGCCAGAGACAGGAAAGTGGGGTCGAGGTGGAGGCGGAAGGACGCCCAGGCTATTTCTTCGCTTTAAAGAAGGATAAAAAGAGCCCTTGTGGCAACAGCAGCTCCTTAGGGAGGCAGGTGCGCGCGCAGCCAGTGTAGGGTGCGCGCAAGGTAGGGAAGGAGGTGCGTTTTCTTCCCATCCACCATCCTCACCAAACCTGCCCCTCCCACTGGCCCTAGCGTGCGTTGGATTCCTGAGGGGGGAAAAGGTCACTTTGGGATTGTCGCGAGACGCAACTGTTTAACGGTGAGAACGGGTGCGTGGGGAAGGAAACCTCGCGCGCTCCCTTGGAGCCGTTTCCTGATTGGCTGAAGGAAGGGGTGAGGGCGGGAACTTAGTATTTCGTTGCGTGTGCGAGCAAGGGGCGGGGCAAGGAGGCCAGCACTCCCCTCCGATTGGTCCTCTGAGTGTGTGTGGCGGGCACGCGCGCGCGCAGCCTGCGGTAGTGGGCCTTGAGTGGCAGGCGGTGGGGGGGGCCGCCTTCGGAGCAGGCAGAGGGGAGGGGGGAAAAGAGGAGCTCAGGGTGAGAGTGAACCGGACGCTCCGGGAGGCAAGGGGGGCGGGGGGAACAGCGTCGCGGCCGCCGCCGCCTCCGCCTCCGCCGCCTGGGACGAGGGGGTGGGGGACGGACGAGCCCCGATGCCGGGGGAGACGGAAGAGCCGAGATCCCAGGAGCAGCAGGAGCAGGAAGGGGGAGAGGCGGCGGCGGCCAAGGCGGCTCCGGAGGAGGCCCAACAACGGCCCGTAGAGGCGGTGGCGGCGGCGCCTGCGGGAACCACAAGCAGCCGCGTGCTCAGGGGAGGTCGGGACCGAGGCCGGGCCGCTGCGGCCGCCGCCGCCGCCGCCGTGTCCCGTCGGAGGAAGGCCGAGTACCCCCGTCGGAGGAGGAGCAGCCCCAGCGCCAGGCCTCCCGACGCCCCCGGGCAGCAGTCCCAGGCCGCGAAGCCCCCGTCTCCAGTGCAGGGCAAGAAGAGCCCGCGACTCCAGTGAGTACCGCAGTCTTTGAGACGGTGGGAAAGACCCCCTTCGGTCCGCACGCCGCCCTCCCGGCTCCCGTAGCGCCCACTCCACGTGACACCCGCTTGCTCTGCCCCCTGCCGGCGCCGCACGCCAGATGTCACGCCGTCCCCGCCGCGGCCTGTCGCTCCTGCACCCCGCTTCCCCGCTCCCCGGGACTCCCTTTGCCAGGACCCCCCGCTGCTGACCCTCCTCCCCGGCGCCCTCAGGCCTGAGCCGCGCTCTGGCATCCGCACCCCCTTTGTCAGCCTGCCCTTCTCCCTCCGGAGCTCTCCAGTATTGCATCACGTCCCCATTAGGAAACCAGCAGCGTGGTTCCAGCCCGCAGAACGCGCCCCCTTCCATTAATCAGCGCAGGAGCCAGTTGAACTGATGCCTTAGGGAGCCTTTTTTTCTCTTCCAAATTCTCGGTCTTTTTTAGAAATCCAATGCCCAGGGTGGCGGTAAAAATATGGCTCTGCTAATTTTCAATAAAGTATTTTAAATAACTATTAGATGAGTGTTCAGGCTTTATTTTTACAAAGTAGCATATGGGTTTTTTTTTTCCTGTATTTTTGCATTTATTTACTTGTAGAGACTTCATTCTTAAAATTAGATTCATCTGAAAGAAATTATTTTGTTACCGAGACGTAATACAGGAACCATGAACAGATGGCAAGGAGCATAAGTATTTTGAGTTGCTTATTAAAATGTTCATAACGAATACTGGTGTACACAATTTTGTGAATTAGAAAATAATCACTGAATTCATTGCTGAAAACATCATCTATGTTCTGCCTTCCAAGTGAAAAAAATTAGCAGGGAAAATTGAAGGGGTAGGGATTCCGTTTTAGGTGCTTACATTCCTCCGGTAGATTTGGTCTACCCTAGACCCAGTACGTTTTTAATACTTAATACAACTCTTTTGCAAAATTAGGAGTTAAGTCTTGTGACTTGGAATATTTAGCCCCACGGAAAAAGGAGTAAAATTCAGAGGTACTATATTGTGTATGATGTTTGAAGTTTTGAATGTGATTTAAGTTAACAAAATTTAGAGGATTTACTATATGAACTACAGTTCTGTGGACAATAAAAGTCTGTTCTTAAAATTTTTTCAGCCGAAGTTACCATTGTAATTGCTGTAGGTGCATTTCATATTCACAAAAATTCTAAATTCCCGTATTTAATCTCTTATAAATTAAAAGATGTATCGTCATTCTGATTTGGATATTAATTCCTTGAGCAAATTCCTTACCCTTCTGTGCCTCAGTTTCCACATCTATAGGGAATTATGTATGGACAATGATCTGTGTACAGCACGTCACACAGTTCCTAGCATATAGGAAATACTAAGTAAAACGCTGATTTGACTAATGGCAGATGTATGAGTGGTTTGCAGTGGTGCTTATGTTGGGAAATAGGATTTAAAAATTTTTTTTTGTATTATGTATAAATAAGTTAGTAATTAAAGTACTTGTAAATTTTGCTTTCTCACCCTCCGCTTGAGAGTTGAATATATCTATATCGCAAGGTAATTTTTTGCCTGCTGTAGTGATGATTTACTATTTTCCCCCTAACTTGGCAAAAAGTACCAGTCCAATAAAGTTTTGGGGTTTTTTTTTTGGAGGAGCTGGAATTGAACTCAGGGCGTCATGTTTCTACCACTTAAGCTGCACCCCCACCATCAGCCCTGCTGTTGCATTTTTTTACTTATACAGTATAAATGTAAAAACATTGAATTTAGATGAATATGATTTAATTAACTCCCTTCAGATTATTTCTCTGCAATAATCCTTGTGGAAAGAAAAAAATCCTCTCAATTCTTAGTGCCCCTCCCACTCACCTAATGTTAGAAAAGGTAATAGTCATAATGATACTCCTTTACCTTTCAGCATCAGAATTATTTCTTGAGTGTGTATTTAAAATTATACAATTTTGATTAGATTGTGAAACTAAATTTTCATAGTATTTTTCAGTCTACTTTGTGGGCTGGAAATCAAAGGAATTCCAAAGCATTTCAGCGTGGCATTCCTTCTTTGAGCAATAAGTGGCCCTGGTACTGTGATGCGCTAAGCAATAGAAAGACAAATGTGAGCTGGCACTTGCCTTCAAGGACTTTGCAGTAAAAAGGAATGATGCCTTGACTAGTAGACATTTGTTAAACATATGCATGGTTAACAGATTTTCAGTGACATATGTCTTGTTAACTAATCCTTTTTATTTAATCCTTGAAGACATTTCAAGTGTTTTTGAGCTTTAGTTTACTAAACCCTGACCTTGACTCATCTCTTTTCCAAATAACATGACAATTTTCAAGGAGGTAAGAAATTTAATGCTGAGTTAATTACTTGTTCTGGCTGGATCCTTTTCCCATATCCCAGCATTTTTTCCTACAAAATCCTTAGAAATCAGTTTTTCAACCTTTACTTTTTTCTCAAAGAAATGCTAAGATATGTGATAATTTAAAAGAGTCAATAAATGAACAGATTTGGATTGACTGAAACCTCTGTTCATATTAGAAGGCAAAATAGTCATTATGAACTAAAACCTAAATGTCTAATAGTAAGGAAAAATAAGTCAAATTTGAGCAGTTTATATATTCATACTATTTAAGTATTAGGTACAAGCCTGGGCGTGGTTACTCATGCTTTGTAATCTTAGGTACTGAAGAGACAGATCTGAGGATCATGGTTCAGGGTCAGCCTGGGGCAAAAAGCTAGCAAGACTCCATTTCAACCAATAAAAGTACACTCTTGATATCCGAGCTACACAGGAAACATAAATAGGAGGGTCAAGTTTCAGGCTGGCCTAGGCATAAATGCAAGACCCTATTTGAAAAATACCTAAAGCAAAAGGACCTGGTAGTGTGGCTGAAGTGGCAAAGCACCTGCCTGGCAAAATGTAAGGCCCTGAATCCTAGGACTGTCCCCCCCCAACCCCCCAAAAAAAGCCCAGGTAATAAAGTCTTATCATTTTAGTCAATAAATTACATAGTTAAAATTCTCATTCCAAATGCAGATGCTGTACATAATATTTTTAAGTCAATATATTCTACAAAAATGTGGTAGCATTGGTATTACAGTTTTAGGATGTTGAAATCAACATCCATGTTATTTTTCTAGTATGGAAACAATGAAATTGTCAAAATTAGGTTAAAATGAAAAATAATACATGCATAACCTATGCATTTCAGATTTTAAAACTATTCTTTTTGAAACTTAAAATAATAGCTCTTGGGTAACAATATTAGCTAAAGCAAGGGGACTTCCTTTAGTTTTGAATGAATTGATTGCTTATATTCTGGTGTATGGAATTCAATTTTTTTTAGTTTGTTTTACTAAAAGTAAAATTACAATAAACCTAGGAAGAATTTTCCACTACTTCTCTTTTGAAGGATTATGGAGAAAAAAATGAAGAGGCAGTGATATTCTGAATTAAAAACTTAACCCCCCCTTTGTCTTTAGAAGGTGTCACTTGTACAAAAATGGAATTGTGAATGATAGGAATGATCCTAGGGTAATCCATAAGTAATAGAAACATTGTATCATTTCCATGTTTTTTTTTTTGAAAGATCTAACAAATACCCTTATTCTTAGTTTCTACTTAAAACTAAGACAATTAGCAGTTGTCTTGTGTTAATTGAGATGTTTGTAATATAATTTAAAATTATATTTACATTTGAATTTGGGTAATAGGTATGGAGGAGTTCAGTATACTATACACATCAATTATGTAGCATAGAATTTTTCTCAAGTTGAAAACATGAGAATACTTTTTAACTATGTATGCTATGACACTTTAAACTTTTTTACTGTAACTATCTAATTTGTAAAGTACATGTTGTATTCATTTGTGGATCATCTATCTCTTTTTAGAACTAGATTTAGATTTTTCTTTTTTTTTTGGTTTTTGAACTTTCTAGGTAGACTTTCCAACACTTGAGTCCTTTTTCGCTTTGGGTATTTTTCAGATAGGGTGACATGTTTTTGCCCATTGCTGGCCTTGGACAGCTGTCTTCCTACCTATGCATGGCTGACATGCCACCTCGCCAGCTTATTGGTTGAGATGGGGGTCGCTAGTCTTTTTTGTCTGGCTGGCATCAAACCATGATCCTCTAGATCTCTGCCTCAGAGTAGCTAGGATTTCAGGTATGAGCTACCACATCTGGCTTTGATTTGATTTTTAATAATTTGAGTCTTTTAAGGTGCACTAAATTTTTATTATGAATATTATTAGAATATACACAAAGTAGAGGAATAGTATAATGAAACCTTAGCATTTATCACCCAGATCTATAAGATTTTTGCCATGCCTGCTACACCTGCCCTGCTATCTCTCCTTTTCTTGGCAGAAGTATTTTACAGCATAGCATAAACATTTTGTCATTTTATCTCCAGATACTTCATTTATGTGCAATGAGGACACTCATTTTCTTATATAACCTACTTAATGAAATAAAATTAGCAGTATTTTCCCTGAATTAATACCTTTTTATGGTTAAAAGCAACTGTTTGTCATATGCAGCTGTCACTGCATACACTTATGACAGCTGCATATGACTAAAATTTACTAATCAAAATTAAAAATTCAGTCCCTTAGTTACACTAAGTTACACTATTCGAAGTACTCAGTATCAGCTTGTGACTAACATTGGACAGTACAGATATAAAATCTTTCTACCACAGCTAGAAGTTAGACTTTCTTTGGACAACGTTATTCTTGGTGCTTTCTGTATCAGTCTGGAGAAGAACCTGAAAGAGATACATATTTGTGTTTTAAGCAAATGTACAGGATTGCTCATCTAATATTTGACTCTTATTTCTTTCAGATGCATAGAAAAAATAACAACTGATAAAGGTAAGATTTGGTCATTCTTACCTTTCTTGTGTGCATTAATCATGTTATAATTTGATAGAAAGTAGAATGAGCTTAAGCCTCATCATTCAAAGTTGTTGGTTTGAGGTCAGCGTGGGCAATTAATTCAGGAGACCCTATCTCCAAAATAACTAGAGCAAAATGGACTAGAGGTGTAACTCAAGAGCACCTGTGTTGCCCATTGAGAAACCCTGAGTTCAAACCCCAGTACTACATCCCACTCTCCCCCCCCAAAAAAAAGAAACAAAGTTCTTCCATTCAAAGGGGACTTTTCTAAATTTTGTAAAACATGACTGGAGTTACTAGAATCTATTAGATACCTGCAAGCAGATAGTAGAATATCTTCACGCTATTTAGAAACTTAATAATGGGGAATCATGATTTGATGGCAGTTGATTCTCATTTTTAAAACTGTTTAATCCTTTTTAAACAAACTAATAAGTAGGTGTCCAAACTCAGATTTTTTGTTGTTCTAATTCTTGAAATCTAAAGATAATATCTAACACCAAACAGAAGTATTTTATACTGGGTAAAATTTTGTATAGAAAGCTTTGCTTGATTATTTTGTGTAGCAAGGTTTTGTTCTCATTACTTAGAAAATAAGTGTTAAATCTGTCTGGAACAGAAGGTGTTAGGTTTTTGTTCAGAGATTATTTTGGAGATTTTATGACATAATAAAAATGTAGAGATAAGTGACAAGTAGTAGAGCAGTTCTGAGTCTAACAAAAAAATAGCCTCTTTTTATCAGCGCTAAAATTACTTTGTGTGTCTAAAACGTACTTAGAAATTACTCTAGGTTGTCTTGAGGATAACTTAAGAGAATGTGATGGAAATTCTGAATCCCTTTTGGAGATAAGTAATGTTTATATAGATGTCTTCAACCAGAGTGTGGCATGCTGTGTAGTTGTATATCTGTGAATAGATAAAAACTTAATTCCAAAAGCTGTATCACTTGACCAGTTAATAACTCTGGATATGGATATTCTCAGACTTCCATCTTCATGTCTTCTTTAGTTCTCCTATTAGAGTAACTGTTCAGCTCTCTAAACAGTATATAAATACATAAGGACTACATCTAGCACACTCTTAGATCAGTGAAGAAAGAGGTGAAGGCTCTAGGACACTTTTTTGTTCTCTTTAGTATTTACAGTTTGTCCCAGTTTTTTTCCTTGTCATTTAATTTCTCAAAAAGTTGTACTGTAACTCTTGGAATAATCTTTGTATCCATCTGCTAAATTTTAACTGAAGTAACTCATTTCACAGGTTGAGGCTTTTTCAACACCTTAGCTATTTTATTATTTTCTAGATGTATAACTTAACTGTTTTATTAGTGTTGAAGTATTTACAATTGGTTTTATTCTTTCTTTCTTTATATTTTATTGTTTTTACATTTACTTACATGTGTATACAGTTTTTGTGCCACGCTTCTCCCCCCCTGCTTTTATTCTTATTTACTGTAAAACAACCACGAATTGTATGCTTTCCGTGAGTTGAAGAGTCATTGCCCCTTTTCAATGCCTTTTATTGCATAAAGAAAGCAACTTTCTAATTTTAATTTATTAAGTTGAAAAGTTCTATGTTCAGTTTTTTTAGTTGAAAGAATAGCAAAGAAACATTAGCATTTTCTGTTCCTACTACGTTTATTTACTCCTATTATAAATAAAATAAATTTTAAAAACTACCTTACTAAAATAGTGTTTATTGCATTCTTTCAACAAGTATTTGAGCATACACTATGTGTCTGACAGCATTCTGCACACTGAGTTATACTGATAACTGAGTGAAATGAAATAAAATCAAATAAAATGTTTGAAGTTGGAGCTGGGGGTGCTAAATATATATATATATATATACTATATATTATATGTGATAATATATAATGTTATATATAATATATATTATTATATATAATATATATAATATATGTATATATATAAATATATATAAGATTGAAAGATATTATACTGATTATAAAAAAACTACATATCGCTTAGACTAAATATGCAGTATGTATCTGGGTGAGGCTACTCCACACAACAAAATGGAAAGGAGTGAAACCTGAAAGTATTACTTACCACTGTTAGAAGATTTTTCCTCACTGTTAGAAGATTTTCCTCACTGAAACAAGAGTTTTCAAGAATGTTAGCAGAAGGAAGGCTTGAGGGATTTAAAAACTTCCTTTTTAATTTGACTTTGTTAAGTTTCTATGTTTTGAACCACTGTTGTACTCAGGACAATCAAGTTAAGGATGTTTTTTATAAATGTAATTTATTAAATTTCCCTGCATTGTTTTAATTTTTTTCCTAACTTCTAACTAACTAGACATTATGAAAACCAGTTCTCTCATCTTTTAGATCCTTAGCTGAATAATTAAAAGGGCTTGTCAAGATAACGCATAATTTAAAAAGAACTTGTAATATCTGAGTGTTTGCTAAAATGTTTCAAGTGTTTAATGGAATAATAATAAGGACACAGTATGAAGTAAATATGGACAGGTACATGAGGCATCAGCATTAGGTAGGATGTATTAGGTATTTATTACAGGGCTTAGGAACTTTCTTGAGTAATATGCATTGTAAATATCAAAATGTGCAACAGTTACCTAACATTTTATAAGATCCCCTTTTTAGGAACATCTCAGAACCAGAGTTTATGCAGAACATACGTTGGAGTGCTCAGTGCCTGAAAGTTCTATTGTATTTTGGGATTCAGCTTTTACTGAAAATTGTCTTAGCATTTTCAGTTGCTGTTACGGAATAGTGACCGAGAGTCATCAAACAAATTCATAACATCTGAAAGTTAGATTGTTTAAGAATTTAACTATTAACTGCTTGCGTTATGTAATTTTTTTTATAATCAGTATAATATCTAGAATTATTAGCGTATTTTGGCTTTTCCTCTGCTATGGATCACAGCCTCAGTTTTTGTCTAACATTAATTTAGTGTAGTATATAGGTCATGCATCTGCTCCAGATTTTAAAAATTAGAATCAGTTTGTTTTTTAACAGTTTTCATAATTTTAATTTCAACAAAGAATTTCATTTTCATTGGGTTGAAATACATTCAATTATTTTTTTCCTTATTTAAAAAACATTTTCATTAGCATATATTAATTGTACTGGAGAGTTTCATTGTGACATTTCCATATGTGCTTACAGTGTATCTTCATTAGATTCACCCCCTCTCTCCTTTTCCCTCATCTCTACTCCCACCCTTCTTAAAAGAATTTCAACAGGTTTCATTGTTCTATTTCATACAAGTATATATACGAAGTACATCAACCATATTCACCCTCCACCCTGTCTGTTCTCCCACCTTGTTCCTACTAGTACCCACCCTTGAATAGGACCTTGTCCTCCATTTTTAAGTGTGCATTGCTTGGTCAAAGGAATTTTTCCATAGTATTTCCTACATGAACATAATGTACTTTAATCAGAATAATCCTCTCTATTATTCTCTACTGAACAGGTTGATTATTTTATCCTCTCAGGTCAGTGTCTTGTAATGACATTCATTTTTGTCAGCTTTCAACTTCAACATAACATTGTTTCCGCCTTCCTTTGTGGATACATCTAATTTCTAGTATTTTTAAACAATATTTGTATGATTCCTATGCATAACTAAGCACCCCAATTATTTTCCCCCTATTCCAGTGAGAAAATTTTGACTTTTGCATTTTTTGCAGTTTGCATATCTGTACAAAGGACGATTTGAGAATATACTCAGAATATTATCTTTCACGATTCTTTCTTGAAAGATTTTGAATCTCCTTGCTTTACGGCCTGGTTTTCCTAGTTTAAAAAAATTTTTCTCTAGGCTTTAAAGCTGTGTAAGGAAAGTCTCTAAATGAGCAAAAAGCACATATAAGCCCAGTCCTAACTCAGATGTGCTATTAGTTTTAAGTGAAACATTTGTGTTTAGATTTTTTTCTAAAGTCAGCTTAACTGACTTTAAGCCCTCCCACTTCCTCCTGGTCGCTCTTCATACTACTTAATATTAATACTATAATATTAATATTTCACGTAGAGTTTGTTAATTTATTTATGGAAAACAAAGTAGAGGTAATGATAAAAGTATACAGAGTAGATTTCAAAAACTTAAAGTTACTGACTCTGTTATTATAATGATCAAGCCTTAAAGTTCTGACAGTACATTAGATAAGTATTTTATCTTTCTTCCTAATCCTTTATTCTGAGGTAATAGAAATCATTATTTCTTTCAGTATGAGAATGATCTTAGACATCTTTTTTTCTTGTTGGGAATGGCTCATATCCTTTAGTCTACTTTTCTAGTTCAAACTTGGTTATAATACAGGCTCGGCAAGCCTTACCAGTTTATTTCAATTGTGGAATGTTTGATCATTCATGTAAATAAGCGTTTCTGTCCCACACATACAAAGACAAAATAAAGAATTTTCCCATTACAATTCTAACTTTATAAGAATTGTCTCTGGTAGTTATCTTTATTCTGTTTTATATAGTAATTATTTTATTACCTTTTCCTGGTAAAACCATTTGAGAGTTAACAGCAGAATGCCTTGATAGGAGTATAATGAAGCCCAGTAAAACTTAATGTCATGGGTAGAGCCGGTAAGAATTCTAAACCTCTAGGAAAGACCTAGGCCTATCTCAAGATGAGCGCATAACATGCTCGCAATGAGAATCCTGAGTAGATAAGAACTTCTGAACAAAAAAATCCTGATTTAATGCCCCCAATCTTTTTAAGTTCAAGAAGGATCTAATTCATCTGAATTAATACTATTCAAATTAGTCTAACGTATCTCTACAAAGGCTTCTTTAGCATTATTGTAGTTAATTCTCTTAGAGGAAACTATTCCTATCTTCTGCTTCCTATCTTACTAAACCTGTCTGATCCTAAACTTCTAACTCATAATCTAGCTGCTTATTTGCTGGTACGTTGCTTCTTTGACAGTTGCTAAACCTTGCTGTTTCATTTGCTGTATTGCCATTGTTCTATAACAA